AATAGCAGAGCAAACAGGAAGAAAAAGTCCCGCGGCAACTCATGGGAGCTTCCCATACCATCTTGTCGGCTCTTGTGAATCGACCCCAGTCGACGCTGAATCGACGCTCATCGACGCTGCATCGACGCTAGCCGACGCTAAATCGGCGCTGCCTCATCGACTCCCAGACGCTGACCGACGCCAAAGACAGCACCACCAGGGCACACACGACCCTGACCTTCCAGAGTGCTAAAGCATAGCACCCCAGACCTATGGATCTATCTGGACCGCCTCAAACCCCGACAGGAATTAGGACGTCGACGTCCTGGTGCTATTTTTTAGCCCTCCTGGAAGGTCAGGGGAGGCCCCCCATGCCTGGCGACCGACGAGACGCCAGGACCTCGGCGCTCCTCCCCTGAGCCTCCGCGGGCGCCGGCAGCTCCGCCGGCGGGGCGCCCGCCGGGCCCGCCCCCGGCGCGGCCGCCCGCCCGGGGAGGCGCTGCTCGACCGGCGGCGCCTCGGCGGGCCCGCGATGTTTTCAGCACGGGGTTCCCCCCTAAAAGTCTCCCCCAGCACCGGTTCTCCCGAGTCGTTCTTTGGCGCTCCCGGGGCCCCGCGCAAAGAAATCGCCATGATTTGTTCATCAGTGCGTTGGATCTCAGGGGGCTCCGCGGGAGCGGCGGCGGCCGAGCCCGCCGGAGGAGGAAGAGGAGGCGGAGGAAGAGGAGGAGGAGGAGGAGGAGGAGGAAGAGGAGGAGGAGAGGAGGAGGGGAGGGAGGAGGAGGAAGAGGAGGGGAGGAGAGGAGGAGGAGGAGGAGGAGGAGGAGGAGGAGGAGGAGGGGAAAAGGAGGGAGGAGGAGGAGGAGAAGGAGGAGGAGGATGAGGAGGGGGCTCTGCCGCCAGCGCGGCCGGGGGCCGCGGCGCGTGCCCCAGGCGGAGGCCGTGCCGCGAGCTTCGAGCCGATCGAGGCGAGATCGAGCTCGTCATCGGACGCACAGTTCGTCGGTGCTCGACGGCTCTCCCCAGCCTCGGGGTGCCTTCCAGCAGCTGTCCCTCGACTCCACCTCCTCCTCCTCCTCCTCCTCCTCAATCCTCAATCCTCCTCCTCCTCCTCCTCCTCCTCCTCCTCCTCCTCAATCCTCCTCCTCAATCCTCAATCCTCCTCCTCCTCCACCTCTCCTCCTCCTCTTCCTCCTCCTCCTCCTCCTGGGCGAAAAGGTGGGGTTGGAGGGACAATCGCTCCAACCGGCCCCTGGAAAAAGGGCACGCTCGTTAAACGGGAGCAGCCTGCTGGGCCAGCTCCCCAGCCCCACCTTGGGATAATCCTCCCTCTCTACGAACCCCTGATTCCGGCAGCTGTGCCTCGCCACGGGCGTTCTGGGGGTGCCCGGATCGCCCCGAGCGGCCGCCGGAGGCCGAAGGTTCGAGTTGGGCCCCGAAAACCGATCGGCCAAGAGAACCGGGCGTTCCAGTTTTTGTCACGCCAAGCGTTTCTGCCTGGTTCCCAAACCCCCATCGTGTGATTCCAAAATCACGACGGGAGGTTGTTTTGAGCTATTATCGGCGTCTGGGGGCCCTGACCAGGCCTCCAGCCCCGGAATGGGTCGAGACAAGGTAGACCTGATGAAACAAATGGCGTCGGGGATTTGGGTTTCGGGCCCCGGGACCCTCACAGATCGACCCTGCTAGAAACATGCAGCAGAAAGATGCAGTCCAGGGCTCGATCGAGATGTTTCGCGGTGTTGCTGCTTTCAGGTCCTAAACATTGTCGCGTCCCGAAAACAAAATCATGACAGGAGGTTTTTGGCAGATTTCGGCCTCAGGGGGCCTTCGCCGGGCCTCAGGACCGACAAAAAAATGCTCAGGATGAAAGACTGGCCCTGGGTGCGGGCAATATTTGTGTCCGCATCCAGTGCGTCTTGTAGTTGCGGGTTCCATTTCCCAGAAACAGGAGACGAAGTGGATATCGATGGAAATCTGGCCCCTGGGGGCCAGATTTTTATCCACATCCACTGCGCCTCGGTCTTTTGAAAGTCCCCCCCCCAGGACGTCCAAGACACAGTGGATGTGGAAAATAAAGATCGGCCGCAGTGGCGGAGCGTCGGGGCTTCCGGGGACCCCGTGTTGGAAAAAAATCCACCCGCGAGTTCCCCTGCGGCCGCGGAGGGCGGCTCGGAGGGCATGTGCACTTCCTTTTAATCGGCGGCGCCTTGGGTCAAAGCTGCGGTCAGGCTACGGCAGGGCCGCCGCTGTGAGAAGTGGGCACGGAGGCGGAAGGAGAGACGGCAGGGGGTCCCGGAGTTACCCCTCTGACTGTGGACAAAGGCTGTTCTTTTCTGGTTTCAAGGGGCGTATCCAACAGCTGCTGGAAGGCACCCCGAGGCTGGAAAGCCCACGAGGACCGACGAAAACGCCTGCGAACTTCGAGCCTCCAAACTTCCATTCGTCGCCCCTGTACCAATCTTTGGTATCCGTTCCCTGGTAGCCTACGTGGCCCCCCGGCGCTGTGGGCCTGATTTGGGCCTGATCCGGACCACATTTGGACTACATTTGGAACACATTTGGGACCAGACTTGGAACACACGCGCGCTTATCCCCTATCGGCTACACGCACGAGTGACTTTGGGTAAGAAAGACCTTTGGTGCGCGGCTTCCTGGGGCCCGCGGGGGGGTCAAACGTAAGCGCGCAAAACGCCACCGTCGCCTCGCGTTCGGCGATCGGGGGACCCCAATGGGCCCGCACCAAAGGTCACTCCGGCGAAGGGTCACTCTCCTCCTCCTCCTCCTCCTCCTCCTCCTCCTCCTCCTCCTCCTCCTCCTAGAGCTCTGTCCCCCCGTGAGGCTGCCCCCAGCCTCTGTCGCACGCGCCGCGCCAGGCGAGCCCGCCTCGTGGGCGTCAAACAGACTGTGCATCACTGCCCGCGCCCGCGCCCTCGCGGGCCGGGCCCCTAAGCCCGCGACACCGTGGACATGGGTCGTGGTTCCGCGGATGCCCCGCGCGCAGCGCATCCGCGCGAACGCGCATCCGCGCGAACGCGCATCTGGATGCCTTCCAGATGCGGTCCGAGCGGATGGGGTCGGGGGATCGCACCAGATCAGATGGGGCCGGGTCCGAGCAGATGGGGTCGGGAGCCGATGCATCGGCGATACATCGGCGGCGTCGGCGATGCGGCGCGATCCTCCGACCCCACTGGGAGGCCCGAAGAATCCGCGGGGTCGCGCCCAGAGAATCCAGACCGCGAGGGCGCGGACACGGGCGCGTTCGCCGCTCGCGGCTGACCTCGCTCGCCCGCGAGGCTCCGGGCGAGCCCGCCGCCGCGGCCGCCGGCCCGGGGGGCTGCGCGACCAGCGACCACCCGCTGGGCGGCGGGGACGCCGCCGCGCAGTCGCCGTGGCGCGCCCAGCCCGGGTGCTCCCAGCCGATCATGGGCCCGATCCACCAGCCCGAGAAGAGCGGGCCTCTGGGGAGAGGGCGGCGCTCTCCGGTGCCGACGGGCCCTCCCCAGGGCTGCGGTCTGGAGCGGTTGCGGCGCTCGCCGAGGCGGCGGCCCCGGGGGCACGCTGTGCCCTGCAAGCGTAGGTAGCATGTCGCCCCGCCCCACGGGAAGGGGGGCTCGGGAGAGCTCGGGACGTCGACGCCTGGAGGCTGGGGCGTGGTGCGCGTCGCGCCGTACTTAGCGTGGTGGGCCAGAGCCGGCGTGAGCGACACGCGAAGCCAGAGTTCCTGACCGTGCCCGCTGACCTGGGGCCTATGGATCCGCCTGGAAGTCTGGTCAGGGCGTACCCCGAGAGAGGTCAGGGGAGTCTGGGCATCGGTGTATTTGCTCCCCCAGAGGGGGCGAGTGCCCCGTAACACTCAGAGGCTTCACCGAAGCATGCCCACGAACATGTACTCCGAAAATGAAGAAACACCCAGCGTGGATGGAAGAATACACAAATAAATAATGCATGTTTTTCCTGCCCGCGTGACCATCGCGCCCGTCCCAATAGAAGATCATCGCGTCCCCCGTGTCGGACTGCCTCCTGTAGACGGGTCTCCCGTGGTTCACGCCCTGCATCAGGTATAGACCTCCGAGGTGGCACTAGCACGCAGAGCGGATGCAGCTGGCGCTCCCTCCTCCTCCTCCTCCTCCTCCTCCTCCTCCTCCTCTCACACCCGCACTCCTTCGCCATGCCTTCCACACGTCTGTGCCTCAGCCCCCGCCCTCCCTATCACCCCTCCCGCTCCGTCTCTCCCGCCCTGCCTTCTCCCCCCCCCCTCTCTTCTCGTGCCCCTACGTTTCACGTCCCCATCTGAGCTGCCCCGATACGCAACACGCAACACGTAGCGTGTTGACACGGAGCTCAACACGCAGACTGAAAAAGTAGGTCTGGCGCGATGCGTTCGCCAAAACGTGGACCAACACGTGCCGAACCAACACGCAACGTGTTGACACGGGAATTTTGAACGCGGCACGTGTTGCGACTCAACACGGGCGTATCAAGGCAACTCAGGTCCCCATCCGTCTCTCCCTCCCGCACTCTTGGGCCTCCCATCTCGTCTCTTTGCCCCTCCTGTCTGCGGCCTTCCCTGCCCGCAGCTCCCTTCATTTCCCGCCTCCCTGCCCCTGTATCCAACCCCTCCCCATCTCCTACTCCTGCTCCGCCTCTACCTCCTACCCCCCCATCCCTCCTGTTCCTCACACCTCCTCCTCCTCCTCCTCCTCCTTCTCGTCCTCAACTCCTCCTCCTCCTCCTTATTCTCCTTCTCCTGCTCCTCCTCCTCCTCACCCTCCTCGTCCTCCTCGTTGTTCGCCTCCTCCTCCTCCTCCTCCTCCTCCTCCTCCTCCTCCAATCTCCCTCGCCTCCACCACCTCCTCCTCCTCCTCCTCCTCCTCCTCCTCCTCCTCCTCCTCCGGTTCATCCTCATCCTCATCCTCCTCTTCCTCCTCCTATCTCGATATGATCGCGTACGAGCAACAAGGACGACTCGCAAGCAGCTCCCCTCCATACTTTCCCGCCCCGCCCACGTTGCAATCCCTGTCCTGTTCTCACCAACTAAATCCGGCTGCCAGCTCCGTGCACTTAAACATGTGAGTGTCATTGGGTGTTGCTCTTCGATGCGATCGAAGTGCCAAATTCCAGCTCAGACCAAGCACTGATGCGTTCTCCCAAATCTGATCGTCACCAGTCGGAGCAACAACATGGGAGGGAGGTGCCGGTGCAGAGGAAACCGGCGCTCGAGTATGATGATTGGGCGCGGCGTCTAGGTCTAACCGAATGTGAGGTGATGATCCCCGAACGTATCACGAATAGACGACATGGCGAGGACAGCGGCGGCGACGATGAACGTCTCCGCCTCTGGCAGCGGTCGGGACCCCCGAAGCGTTGGGCCCGCGTCACTGCGTTACTCTTCTCCTCCTCGTACAGCCCACGCGCGCCCGCGCGCCAATGACTGGAGGAAGCAAGACAAGAACATGATCGACACGCCCCCAAGACAAAATTAGGGAAACGAGCTCTATACACCGACGCTTTTTCCGACCCTGCGCTGAAATTCGCACAGGAACGCGGATCCTGGTGTATACGGGATCCTGGTGTATACATTTTTCGCTTTCCCTTGCAAAACTGGGGGAAGGTATACACAACACCACCCCGACGTCGTCCCCGACCCTCAAAAAAGTCGTGGGATTGAAAAACGACCCGCCACTGGTAATGTATATGTTCCAGTTTCCAAAAGATTGCCCCCCCTTGGGCCACGACATGCCTTGGGCTTTTGCGCCAGCGCGCATAAAACAAGTCTTGGCAGGTCCAGTGAAGTTGGTGTGGGTCTAAAACTGGTTTGGAATTGTTGCGATGGATCAGATGTCCCTCCGCGCGGATCCGATTTCGGATGTTGTGGATCTGACGTCCGTCTTGTTCTTAACACACGGATCCAACGTATACGCTGGCTTACAATTTTGATATTAGATAAAATGAGCTGGCGGACGGAAACCTGATCCGCGGCATCCAAGCCCGCCGCTGTCAAGGTTCTACGGGGGAAGGGGGCCTGGCTACGAAATATCACAGACAGGTCGCGCGTTGTTTCACGGGCTCCACCAAAGCTCCCCACATGCGGTCCGAACCCAATCTCGCCCCCGGCTGCTGCGAGCATCTTGCCCTGACGCTGTGCGTCTGGCACAGGGTCCGTTCTGTATGACGCTCTGACCAGGAGGCCGAGGCGAATCCAGCGGTGGCAACGACGCCTGCCCCGCAGAGGACCCAGGAAGGGCGCAAGCGAGGGGAGGGTATCCCCTGAGAGCCTCCGTCGCCAAAGCGGCAGCCTCGTGGCAGATCACAACCAACGCCCTCGACCTCGGACCACCTCCCGAGTCGGATCGATCCGCGAGGGCCCCGGGGCCTCAGACCGCGCGAGCACGTGCTTGGCCTGCGGCGAGTTGGGCCCAACCAGCGGGCGGGCGCACGGCAGAAGGCATCCGAGAACCGGGCGAACACGCCCAGTGCGAACACTCCACGACGCCCATGCCCGTCGGTCGGGAGAAGCAGGCAGAAACATGAAGCAGGAAGGCGTTGAAAGTAGATTGCGTGTCCGCCCGCCCCCTAGAGAGGACGGAAAGGGCGAAGCCATTCGGTCATTGGAAGAGGAAGGCGCTCAAAATAGATTGAAATCCGGGACTCCAGAAATCCGCCGATCCGGCGTGTGAGTTTCAAGGAGTCTCAGCTACAGCCTCGAGGCTGAGCTTCAGCCTCTGGGGGGGTCGCCGGGGTGGCTCTGCCGGGGAAGGGGGGGTGGGGGGGGGGGGGGGGGTGCGAGTTTCCGGCGAACCCCGGGGCCGCTCCGGGGGAGTGGAAGATAGGGGGGGGGGGGGCGCCATGCTCCGCTTTTTCCGGCGCTTTGGAGGAGGGGGGGGGCCCAAGAGACCCCCAAGGGGTTCCAAGAGGGCCCCGAGTCGCCGAAAAATCGCTCCAAGACGCCCGAGATGGCCTCCAGACGGCCCAAGGTGTCTCCAAGACGCCCCAAGAAGCTTCCAAGAGGCCTCCCAAGAGGGCCCCAAGAGGCCAGAATCGTTGATTTTCATTGGTTTTCTCAGGGTTTTTAGCGTTCTTGCCTTTTCGGGCGTCCGACGCTCGAAGACGGCCCAAGAGGCCCCCAAGTCCGTCCCAAGACGGCCCACGATGCTTCCAACACGGCCCAAGAGAGCCCCAAGACGGCCCAAGAGGGCCCCAAGACGGCCCAAGAGGGCCTCTGGACAGCCCAAGAAGGCCCCAAGAGAGCCCCAAGAGGGGCCCAAGAGGGGGACCACGAACCGAAAGAACCGAGCTTTCCGCCCCAAGAGGCCCCCAGGAGGCCCCAAGAGACCCCCAAGGGGCCCCAAGAAGCCCACAAGAGGCCCAAAAGAGGTTCCAAGAGGCCCCAAAACAGCTCCCCAGAGGCCTCCAGACTGCCTCCGGCAGGCCCCCGGTTTCTTCCGCGGCACCGCCCAGGGCGCCACCGGCAGGATGTCCTCCGTCTCATCGTTTTCCTTCAAGTTATCGCCTCTTCCTCATTCTCCTCCTCCTCCTCTGCGACCTCACTCCTATCCCTCAACGATCGCGTCACCGAGTGCCTCTTCTTTGAAACATCCTCGCTCTTCAAACGCACATCCATACACACATGCATACATACCTACATTTAAACACATTTGCATACATAGAAAAACAATCTTCCAGACATACATACTTACATTCACACACATACACACATATTATCATACACACATACAAACATACATACAAACTAAATACATACATACGCGCACAAGCATACATACATACATACGTACCTACACACAGGCACACATGATCAATGCATGCATACATGCATGCACGCGTACATACACACACATATATCGTGAAACTCACCGCGTGCTCGAAACTTGAGAGAGACCGCGGGAAGTCGAGAGAAGCCGCGGAACGAGGCCTCTACTACTACTACCACTACTACCACAACCACTACTACTACTACTACTACCACTACTACTACTACTACTACTACTACTACTGCTACTACTACTACTACTACTACTACTACTAATACTACTACTAGTACTACAGGAGCGTTTCCCAACTAGTATGTGTGTGTGGGTGATGCTGTGTGCGCATGTCTGCGGCGCAGGTTAAGTGGTGTGACTGTGTGTGTGCGTTTGAGTGTGCGCCCATAATTTCTGCGTCTGGAGAATAACCCCGAGCGACCCGGATCGGCGGCACTGGCCGAAGGCCACTACAATACCTACTTTCAACGACCTATGGGTATCTCAGGGTCGCTATTGGTGCTCCAGTCGGTACAGTAGGGGCCCGACCACAAGAATCCTTCCACAGACCAAACCCTGAGACCCCAGGACGTGCATTGGTCTTTGGTGTGGGAGCGTCACGCTTTCCACCGCAAAACCAACGCAACCCAAGAAACCGGGGGCACCCTGGAGGCAATCAGTGTGCTTCTTGGCATGGGTCTCCACTGCACAGTAGAGGAGAGGAGGGCCCGCGAACCAGCTCGTGCCGCTGACTTCCCTGGCGCCTCTCACGGCGCCGAGAGGCGCCCCGCGTCGCGAGCAGTCTGCCCAGCGGCGGAGCCGAAACCGGGTGCACGCAGACACTGCCGGCTACCCCCACGATTCCCGCAGTCCCCCCCCCCTCCTTGCCGGGGAGACATGAGACGGGCACGGGGGACTCGGCTTGGCCCGACGGGGCCATCATGAATTGACGCGAGCTCCCGCTGCAGGCCTCCCACGGAAACTGGACCGTCAAAATCCAGGACCCGCTCGTCCAAAAACTTCCGGAAAACCGAGTTCTGGCTTACTCGAGTCTTCCGTTTCCCCGATCTTGGCGGGCGCAGGACTGCATAAAGCACACCTCCCCGCGATCGGGGGCACCTGTCCCAGGGCGGCTGGAACTTGATACCCCCACGGCTCGAGCAGTGGATCGACTACATACTTGATGCACCCCAAACTTGATTGGCTCGTCGACTCTACGAAACATGCGTAGAATGCGCGGTAGAGCATTCTACGCATTCGTTCGTAGATTCGCCGGACAGTCCATTTTGGGGTAAAGCATTTCTGTAGCCGATGCCCTGCTCGACCGGCGGCAGGTGGGGGGCACAGCCTCCCCATGCCGCCCTGGGAGAGGCGCCCGCCCTCGCGGAGGCTGCGACGGCATGCCGCTCCTCGCCCGCCAACGGCCGGCCGACCCAGAGGCTCTCAGGGTCGAGGATCGAGGGGAGGGGGGGGGTCGAGGATCGGCGGCGAGCAGGGGAGGGGGGGTCGAGGGGAGGGGGAGGTCGAGGGGAGGGGGGGGTCGAGGGGAGGAAGGGGTCGAGGGGAGGGGGGGGAAGTGAGGAGGGGCGGACCGTCTCAGAAGGCTCGGCAGTCCCCGCATACACAAAGAAGGCTCAGAAGGCTGAGAAGGCTCCTGAGCCTTCCCCGGGGACACAAACAAAATCTGTCGTGAAGCGCGAGGGCTTCAGAGAAGTCCCGCCGCCTTCTGAGAAGGCATCCTCCTTCTCATTTCCCTCCTCGCTCGCCGCCGAACCGTGTTTATCGCGCGAGGGGCCAGAGCGGAGCTGTGGATAGAATCCTGGCCTCCGAGGCCACCTTCAGTTCATCCACATCCGTCTGCACCCGGCGCCCAGTGGGGAACAGCAGAAGGGGTATGAATCGCAAGGCTGTCATAAGGAGCCCTGCATCAAGAACGAGGCCTCCTTTCCATGAGGTAAACCTCGACTTCCCACAGAAAGCCTGAGGAACACCTCAGACAAGCTGCAAGACTGACAATCAGGGAGCCCTGAGCCCCTCCCCAATCTGAAAAGGGCCACTTCTCCGGCGGCCCGACTCTACGGATCGAAAGCCGATCGCCGCTACTCCTCCGAATGGCGGGCTGCTCACCGGGCAAGAGAGGAGCGCGCCGCTGCCCCTGGAGGAACGAAACACGGCATAAAAATAAACGTTCGCCGGTCCGCGCGGACTTCTTGGATCTGAGCTGGACCTGCCTCCCTGGCGCGCGGAGCGCGCCAAGGGCGGCGCCGGAGGTGCCGCCCAGGCGCTCCAGCGCAGATCCGAGAGATCCGCGCAGAGCGCCGAAAGTTCACGCGTCGGTCGGAAGAAGCAGGTAAAAAAGCAGGAAGGGGGAAGGCGGATCAAGTAGGTTGGGTTCGGGCCCTCCCAGAGAAGCACAAGGCACAGCAAGAGCGTGTCGAACCCTGACGTATAGGAGGGCGCTCGGAGTATGCATTGGGATCTGGTACGCCAGGAATGCCCACTGTCCACGACCGGCGTGCATGTGGATGCCGCTTTCCGCTCTTCCAGCCACGCAGCGGCCGGGCATCCCTGCGCGACCAAGCCTGCCTGGCCGCGGCCCTCCCGGGCCTCCCCAACGGGCGCGGTGCTCTCGCCCCGGCCGGCCCGGCCAGGGCCCTCCCGGGCCCCGCGAGGCCCCCGTTTAGGCCGAGGCGGGGAGCGGCCAATGGGACAAGCAAGAGAGGAGACGCCCTGACGCTCTGGGGGGGGAGCTAGGTCAGGAAGGCTCGAGCCGCCCAGACAAGTCATCCCTAGTGGGAGGACGGTTACCTCAATGAGGCCACGCCCTCATCGTGTGAGTGGGGTGAAGGGTTCTTTAGTTCTTGACATATGTTCTGGGTTTTCGTCTTCCCCCCACTTCCAATATTTTCCCACCTCTTCCTGGGCGTCGACGCTTCATTGTGCCTGTGTGCTTTTTCCTCCCCTGAGCTCATTATCCCTGAGATCGGGGCGTCGCGCTGTTGTCGGTGGCGGGGCCCCCCTGGGGGGGGGGGCACTCCACCTGCTCGAAACAGGCGCCCAACACAGCCAAGATCTACTCCACGGGGGGGGGGAGGGGGGGGGGCGAGGGCCCGCGCCGATCGGCAAAATAATGAATAAGAGAACGATCACAAGTAGGAAGGCGTTGAAGGTAGAAGATTGGGTTCCGCCCGCCCCCGAAGGAGGACGGAAAAGAGGTGAAGCCACTCGATCACTAAAAGAGGAACAAGCTCTCAAAGCAGATCGGAATCTGGGGATCCAAAAATATCTACCTTCAACGGCCGATGGGTACGGGACGTAGGAGGACATCCGAGTACTACGCGCTCCCCCCCATGGAGGAGCACGTCCGCCCCGAACAGATAGTACGGGCATATGTTAGTACATCATTATCCGGGCGGTGTGGCCAAAACCATACACATATATCCAGGCCACGACCATACATGTATATATATATATATGTATATATATACATATATATATCCTAGGCCACATATCCTTATCCAGGCCACGACCATACACATATATGTATACACGTATACATATGAATACATATATATATATATGACTTCCGAGCGCGCGCGTCGCCCTGGCCGGGCGATGCACACATGCATAGTATAAGTACCGCAGCACCCCGCAATTGCTGATAAGAGTGAGGGGGGGCGGCGCGGGGTGGGTCGCGGGGTGGGTCGCGGGGTGGGTTGCGGGTGGGGGCGCAGGCGAGGAGGAGCAGGAGGACGACGACTCCGGCAACAACAGCACTCCTTTTCATACTGTTCGCTTTGATCTGCTCGCGTTCCACTCTACACGTATGTCATAAACCTCGGTGCCCGCCCTCTTCGTATTCGATCGTACCCCCGTTGGGGGTAGATCTCTTCCTGACCTCCCAAGTGTCGTTGGTGCAGCCCCTGAAGCAGGCGAAGACGAGGAGGATGGAAGGACGGGGCAAGGAGAAGGCAGAAGGACGGAGCACGAGGGAGCCATGTCGACGCTCTGCGAGCGGGGCGCGGCCAGCGGAAGTGGCCGAGGACGGACTGAGGAGGCAAGGCTGCAAGGGTGCCCTTGGCAAGGTTGCCTGTCCTCAGGATGCGGCTTGACTGCAGGAGCGGGAGAACAGGTGGCAACTTCAGACGGGCGAGCCGGGCGGGCAAACCCTGACGCGCAGGCCGAGCGGGCGGGCCCAGGCGGCCGGGGCGCGCGGGCGGGTCGCTGAAGCGTCGTCGACCCTGCATGAGTTGCGAGGAAGGCTCGAGCGCGATAGCGCGATCCCCAAACAAACCGCAAGAAAGGCCAGAGCGAGAGCCTATAGTTCCTGTGCCGCGGGCGCGAGGAAGTCCCACTAGAGAGCGCGATCCCTGCATACAGTAGGAGCTCGACCACAAGAAACCTTCCACATGAAACCCAACCCTGAGACCCCAGGATGTCCATTTTTTTGTATGGGAATGTCACATTTCCCATCGAAGAACCATCGAAACCCAAGAAATCCAGGGCACCCTGGAGGCAAGCAGGGTGCTTCTTGGCATGCGCTTCAACTGTGAAGTGTGAGGAAGTCCAAAACAAAAGCGCGATTGCTGATAATTGTCAACAAAAATGCGCGCAAGAACGCGATATTGAATGAACTACGAGGAAGCCCTACGCGAAAACGCAATTCCTGCATACCTTGTGAAGTAGTCCCGCTTGAGAGCGCGATTCGAAAATAAATTGCGAGGAGATATCAAGCGGGAGCAGCTGTTGTGGTTAATCGGGGGCTAGGGCCACAGTCTGAGCCTCACATTTCCCCTTGGAAAAGAAGAGGGCGCGAGCCCCGGAGGGGCACTTCAATTGAAACACAAAACGTGAACCCTCCATCAACATCAATGATTCTTAAGAAATGAGAAGTCAACTGTTCGCTCTTATCTTACCTGCTCGCGTGTCATTCAAGATGTAAATCACAAAACCTCGATACCCCACCCTTTCCTCTTCGATCGTACCCCCCTTGGGGGGACATTGTCCTTATCTTCCACGTGTAGTTGACGAAGCCCCTAACACAAGGGAAGAAAGGGAGGAGGGAAGGGACGAAGGGGCGGGAGAAGAATGGGGCGCGAGAAACATCAGTACGAGGGTTAGGAACAACAAAAACAAACGGCAGAACCAGACGGGCGGGTCGGGTGGGCGACCATATCGGGCGAGCCCAGCCGGCGGGGTCGAGCGGGCGGGTCGCTGAAGCGCCAGTCCTGCATGACTCGCGAGGAAGTCTAGAGCAATAGCGCGGTTCCCAAATCAGTCATCGGCAAGTCCATAGCGAGAGAATGATGCCTGAGTGTCGTGGTCGCGTTGTATGGATGAATTAAAAGGACCCCCCACGCAAGAGCGTGATCCCTGCATAAAGTATGAGGAAATCCCTCACGTGATCGCGATGTTGAATCAATTGTGAAATGCCAGGCAGGAGTAATTGTTTTGTAGTCCAGGGGCCAGCGACCCAATCTGAGCCCCAAGACTTGCCCTTCCAAAAAACAAGGTGTGAGCCCCAGGAGGGGTACTTCAACTGAACAAACAAAGTGGGCACCAGAGAGGGAAATAAATAGAACGTATTCTTGAACCACAATATTCATCAACAACAACAGCAACAACAACAGCAACAACATCGACGACGATGACAACAGCAATCATTTAAAGACTGTTCGCTCTGATCCGTTCCTGCGCCTGCCATTCAACATGTACATCCCAAATCCTCGATACCCGCCCTCTTCGTCTTCGATCGTACCCCCTTGCGGGTATATCGTATCTCCCTTACCTGCTACGTGTATTTCGTGCAGTCCCTGAGGCAGGGGAAGAGACGACGGATGGAAGGAATGGACAAGGGGTAAGGACGAGGATGGAACACGAGAGAGAGTAGCAGAAGGGGGGCTAGGAGAAGAGAACACGTGGCAGAACCAGACGGGCAGATCGGGTGGATAATTCCTAACGGGCGGGCCGGGAAGGCGGACCCAGGCGGCCAGGTCGAGCAGGCGGTTTGCTGAAGCGTGCGTCCTGCATGGATCGCGAGTAAGTTTCAGGCGATAGCGCGATTCCCTAAAACATTGCGAGGAAATCCACAGCGAGATCGTGACTCCTGAGTGTCGAAGGCGCGGCGTCTGAATGAATTGTGAGGAAGTCCCGCGGGAGAGCACGATTCCTGAGTACATTGTGAGGAAGCCCCGCGCGAAAGCGCGATTTGGGAATACACTGTGAGGAAATATCATGCGGGAGCCGTTGTTGTTATTGTTGTAGGCCGAGAGCCAACAACACAATTCTGAGACTCAAGACTTTCCCTTTAAAACAACCGGGTGCGAGCCCCAGGAGGGACACTTCAATTGAAAAATCCATGTGCCCGGGGGGATCAACAACAAGTAGTCATTTGAAATGAACAGTCAACAACGACAACAGCAACATCAGCAGCAACAGCCGCAGCAACAACAACACCACCACCACCACCGCCACCACCACCAGCAACAGTAAGATCACCATTAACAACAACAACAACAACAACAACAACGATAACAACAACACAACACAAACAACAACAAGGAACAACCGCGCGTGAGTGCCCCATGGTCCCGGACCTCGTTCCCCGCGTTCTTCCCTAGGGCGGACCCCCCCCCCCCCCAGCAACCAGCAACCAGCAACCAGCAATTCCGAGGAAATGTCCAGCGATAGTCCGATTCCCAAATACATCCAGAGGAAATCCACAGCGAGAGCTTGACTCCTGAGTGTCGAGGGCGCGGCGTTTGACTGAATTGTCAGGAAGACCTCGCGACAGAACTACTCCTATGTAAATTGCTTGGAAATCCCGCGCGAGAGCGCGATTTAGGAATCCATTGTGGAAGGATATCAGGCGGGAACCGCTGTCTTTGTAAACCGGGGGGCGGAGGCCCAGTGGGACTGTTTTGTGTTCGATCGTGCCCCCGTTTGGGGTATATTTCTCTTACCTGCAACGTGTATTTCTGCAGCCCCTGAGGCAGGGAAAGAGACGACGGATGGAAGGAAGAGACAATGGGGAGGGAAGACGATTAAACACGAGGGAAGGTAGCAGAAGGGGGGCTAGGAGCAGAAAACACGTGGCAGAAGCAGAGAGGCAGATAGGGCGTATAGACCCTAACGGGCGGGTCGGGAAAGCGGGTCCAGGCGGCGAGGTCAAGCAGGCGGGTTGCTGAAGCGTGCGTCCTGCACGACTCGAGAGAAAGCCTCGGACGACAGCGCGTCTCCTAAATACATCGTGAAGAAATCCACAGCGAGAGCGTGACCCCTGAGTGTCGAAAGGGCGCCGTCTGAAGGAATTGTGAAGAAGAAACGGAAGAAGCATCAAGCGGGAGCGTCGTTGTTTGTAGGGGGTCCTGAGGCGAACGCCGGTCCTGAGGTGAAAAGCAGTGAGCGGGAGCGCCGATGTTGTGGGGAAGTCGGCTTTGGGGGGCACGCAAGAGCCCTGGACCCGAGTGAGAAAAGAGGAAGTATCGAGCCGGAGCGTTGCTGTTGTTGCACTCTCACTTCTGAAGAATAATGATTGTTGATCCCCCCCGTCCGGTGCACATTGTTTTTTCGGTTTAAGTGCCCTTCCCGGGGCTCGCACCTTGTTTTTTTACCAAGGAAAGTCTTGAGGGTCAAACTATGTCGTTGGCCCCCGGTTTACAACAACATCAACGGCTCCCGCCTGATACGTCCTTACAATTTATTGAAGAATCGCGCTCTCGCTCTGGATT